ACAAACACTTGAAATTTTCAACTTCAAGTTTATATTTTGTGATTATCCATATGATCCATGCGCAAAAAATATTTTAAAATATAGTATTAAAAAGTTAAAATTTACAGAGTTTAAGAATTTATTAAAAAATATTCATATTATGCTAATATAATCTGATATTTTTGGGCAATATATATTAAATTGTAATTTATCAACCTAGATAAATTTTTGATTAAAATATCTAGTGGTGAGCTATTAAAATATTAACAAAGAGCACACACTTTATTTTATAAAATTCAAAATACCAATTATGTTTAATTTTTACAAAAACGGAAACAAATAGTAACTGTGCATGAAAAAAATTAAATAAGAAATATCATGGAAATTACATAAAATAGCAAATAAATTTCATGATGTGCACAATTTGTGCCAGAAGTTGCCCCTCACTTTTCTTCTCACATCAGTTGATCATTTGTAAGGTTTTAAGAACCAGCAGAGATTTTTCAAAAATTTTCTATTCTGCTAAAGGTTTCCCCATTTAGCATTGTCTTTAAATCTAAAACTTCATGTGAGTCAAAGAAGGTCTTATTGTGGAAACACTTTTCGTTAAGCTTAAAGCCTGCTTAGCTTCACCTCTATTAATACTAATAGTCTTTATAATAACTATACCTTCCTTTACACTATTAGGAATTCCATTATGCAGTTTTCATGTTAAAACCATCTCGATGGAAATCCTAAAATAATTTATTTATATTTCATGTTTTAATGTAAAATTTAACGTATGTTAAAGTACGGTTACAACATGCAAGACGTTTTTCCCTGGAATAAGTAATAAGCAAACAAAAGAACAAAGGACAAATTGAGCAAAGGACGCGTGCAAACTTCGTACATCTCATCACTGAAGATATCATAATGGACTTTTTGTACCCCATTTAATGTTGAAAACACCTAATATTACTGATACTAAGAATAGGCTAAATAGATTTCACTTGTATATATATCAAAGCTATATTTGCAGACATCTTTAGAAATTTCAAGACACTTTCAACTCAGCCAAGCAGGCTCATTTCCATTGTAGAACTGATGGTAATGAAAAAGCTGATTTCCTCACACAGAAAAAACAAATTTACTGAGTGCATTAGATTTCACTTTCTAAAGCTTTTGACGAATTTAATTTGTAAATTTTTCATGCAGAGTCATTTCGAGCATGTAATCGAAGAACATGGAATGCTGTTCGAACAAATCCACCTGTGGTCCCAGGTTCTCAAAATATATAGTTGTCACAAAATTTGTCAGGTCATGAATTTCAAGATTAAAATAAATCAAGAATGCTTAGAATGATGCAGAATTTGTATAATTCTTATTAATTTTGAGTGTTATCTGATATCTGTTCTTCAAAAGGCCAGGAATAAAAACCTTTTTTCATTTTTATTGAAGAAGAGGGACCTACGTCAGTTATTTCTTAAACTGACACAAGATTTTATGTTAAGCTGCTATTTTTGCCTTACTTTAATTTTATATGTTTTTGTCAGTTAAGTATGACTTTTATCTGCTATTGAATGTCAGAAACATTAATTTTTCTAAACCATGGGTTGTATCAAAATAAAGTACTTTGGAAAATATATTTAAGCAAAATAAGTATGTTTCACAGAAGACTGTTACAGAGAAGAAGTTATAGGCTTGAAATACAATAAGTATTACAGAAATATAAATTCTAATTGTATTGGAAGCCTATACCTTTAAAATACATAAATTACAAATGTTTGATATGTACATATTTGGTTATATGGTACCTGTCCCCATACTGCTTGATAAGAGTACTCTAGCTGATGTATTTTGTGTTAATATCTACATGACACATATACAATTTCACTGGCATGTCGGTTTCCGCAGCCGCAGTAATCTTGTTTGCAGATCAGACTTAATATTGGGTACAAATACTTTGTTTTTCATTTACCATTTTATACAGATCATCAGACCAGATAAGCTAAGCAAAAAGTGTCCAAATATATAATTAGGATATAAGCCTAACTATCAGTGTTCAGCAGTCTTACCATTCATGGGCTCTTTTTCAGATGATTATCAACTGCATTATATTACATTATAAAGATCTTCCCATTTTACACTCCTCATGTTATGCTAATGACAATTTTTCTAAAAATCTATTTGTTACATGCATTAATCCTTCACACATCCTTCTTTTGAAATTGGGAAAGAATTCCAGATTTTATTAGATAAACAAAACAATTTAATAAAATTTCATATTAACCTTTTCAAAAATACAGTACATTTGAGATTTTTACTATCAATTTATTCAACATGCTACATTTCTTAAAAATCAAATATCACACAAAAACGTAATGCATTTTAGAAAAAGTTCAATCAAATTTTTTATTATTATTTAGGAATCTTCTAATACATATATATATATGTTCTGCATGTGGCTTTGTTGGCTAAATTTGAGTACCTAATAAATACTTATATATATATATTAAGAAAGAAAAAAGCAACACATTTTCTGCACAGGCCAAATTAATAAGCCTTTTTCATGTGCATTTTTTTCTTGATGATCAAAAAATAAATTCTTTCTGTAATTTTCAGTGCCACAAAATAAAGTGAAATGTACAATTTAGCATAAAACTTTTGCGATACAACACCGTACACCTTTTGCGGGAACAGGCTAGAAATTTTATTACACATTTCACGTGATAATGCACCGAATTTTCCGTATTCACTACATTGTCTTTTATAGCAATAAAAGTTAGAAAACTATTATAAATTGATGCGAAAAAGACGTAATCAAAAGATACGAAAAGAGGAATATGAGCGGAAAATAAATCCAAAACAAACCCTTCAATTGCTGGCATAAAAATTGGTCGCCAAAAACAGTCTCCGGCGGTAGCTGATTCTGATTGGTTGAATTTCTTCAGTTCCCGGCGGGTTTTAGCCGCCCGTGTATTGTTTCATTCGGCAGGAGTCATATTTACTACTAAAAAGAACACTGTATTTCAACTGAAGCAAATGCGATTTACTAAACCCTTCGTCGTTCACTTCAAAATCACGGTTTCAAATGACTACAGAAAGAGAAAACATCTGAATCCTAATTTTGTGATTTCGTTCGGTTCGGAAGAGCATACTTATTCCTAAATCTGTCCCCCTTTTCTCAAAACCTAGAATAAAATTCTTGTGAATATCTGCATTGAATACAACCCACTATCTTTGCAGAATTATTTACTCCCTCAAGAAGTTTCCCCTCACACGTATTGTTCTCCTTATCGCTTGTCAGTTCAGTATACCATTGTTCGGACGCGCAAGAAAAATATTTAAATAAATGACTTCAAAGGATAAGAGCATCGCGCATGTATCTTTTAAGCTTCTTCGTAAAGAAAAGGGTACGCGTTATATGCGAATAAACCTAAAAATTAATAAACATGCTCTGAAAGATTAAGTGCGCGTTGTACACTGGTGCATATTATACTCTGGAATATACGGTAATTAGAAAATAATTTCCAGCATATTATTTATATTCTTTGCATGAATTAATAAATGAATATGTTGGTCCCATCTAATGTTTCTTAAATGAACGTCAGTTATCTGGAAGTGAGATAAAACTATACAATAGTTACACGTGAAAAAAAGAATAAACATAGACCAAATAAATAAACAGATAGATAAACATATACTAAAATTACTTGTGCATATGCGAACTTTTGCCCTTGAAATGAATGGTTGATAAGCGCTAATATCGCATATTATATATTTGATAATATTTTATAATTCATTTGCTGTCAACAAGTATTTCGCTTCGCCTTAATTTGGGAAAAAGAAAGGACTTCTATGATTTCAATAAAGGCCAGATCATTATTCCATGAAGAACTGGTAAACTTTTCGGGAGAAACGCAATAATGATAAGAAGAATAACGCCACATATATAATAGTTAGAACTTATCATAGTTTCCGTTTCATTAGTGCAAGAGATCAAAATTGCTTGTCTTATCTTCCTGGCAGAGCTAAAAATCTGACATGATCTTAAGTTTCTGCTTGCGGATTAAGTTCAAGGCATTCTCCTATGATCTAAATGTTTTATTTAAATTAATCAGTTATTTTTAGTCCAAAGAGGTTTTGTCCCTGAAGGACTATTGTTTTCGTTTTGCGATTTTTTGCGTTGAATCACTATAAATGTCCGTTTCACTTTTCAAACTGTTGCCACCAAATCTTAGAGTCCTGCATTATATTTGAAAAAATTATATAATGAAAAATATGCATCAATGTATGTATAATTCTCGCACAGTGATAAAACAACGATACATAGAGCCGTCGAATTTTGAATGAAGTCATCCTCCTACGAATAGGGGCATGTGGAAGACCCAATTTGAAATTTGGAATTGGTTTTATTATCGATATCATATTTTCTAAAACTTTAACGAATTTTGGAGGTACAGACTCAACGATTTAAAAGGGAGCATTGGCAACAATCTACGAGGAAACAAAGACCTATTTATCTCCAGCGCGCGGAACTGTGTATCAGAAATTCTAAAGATGCCCCTTTGGGCATAATTTAAAATCTGAAACCTTTCAGGTTTTTTTCTTTTTTATATGAATTCTTTTTAGATTTTTTATTTTCTTCCAAAGTTTTTACTAGAATGTAAATTAGGTAAATTATTAAAGTGCAAGTAAAGTGTTCTTTTAGTTAACTTTCAGTGGCAACAGTTGCTGGTTGTTTACAAGCATTTAACCTATCCCTAAGTCTTTTCGAATTAGCTGTTGAGCTGGAGTTATTGGGTTATTCGGAAAGTAATTTCGTTTTTTTTTTTTTTTTCCCTCCAAAGAGGGCTTAATTGTATTTTTTCTTACCCAACTTAAGCTGCATAATCATTATATATTTTGACAGCTAACATAGCAGCACTTGCTTGTGAAAGTGTTCGATTGATTCTATACAGTATTGTGGGTGCCTTTCCAGTATGGAAACTGAAAAGCACCACTTCGGCATATTTTACTTTTTTATTATCGAAAAAGTAAAAATGCTGTTCAAACCAAAAATATCCGATGTTTATGGAGAAGATGTATTGACCGAATGCCAGTGCCAAAACTGGTTTGAAAAATTTGGATCCAGCAATTTTGATCTTGAAGATACACCATGCTCTGGAAGGCCAGTTGACGCTGATGAAGACACGATAAAGGCATTAATTGATGCAAAACAGCGAATAACAACTCGTGAGATCACTGAAAGATTAAATTTCTCGAATTCGACCCTTCATGATCATTTAAAATGCCTAGATTTAATCTCAAAGCTCGATATATGTGTTTTTCATGTTCTTAAAGCTCTTCTTTAGCTTTAATAGGCGCTGTAGAAGGTATCGCATCTCCAAGATCAAAATTGCCAGATCGAAACTTTGCAAACCAATTTCTGCAGTGGCATTCGGTCAATACATCTTCTCCATACACATCGGATATTTTTGGTTTGTTTGTTTGAACAGCATTTTCACTTTTCCGAAAGTAAAAAAGTAAAGTGTGTCGAAAATGGTACTTTTTAGCTTCCATATTTGAAAGGCACCCACGAAAAACTATGGTGTAGAACAGGGACGTCAAACTCATAGGTACACTTGGGCCAAACAAACAAGGTTTAACTTTACGCGGGAAGAAAAAAAAAAAAAAAAAAAAAAAAAACAATATTCATAGAAACGTAGATTTATTTCGAATAATACAATAATAAACATATATATATATATTTATATAGAAAAGAATAAGAAAAATTTAATGTTTACGTCCTGATACTTGACATCTCTTCTCTGCTATTATGTTTCCTATTTCGGGAGAAATTTTGGTTTGCAGTGATAACTTTCAACGCTGACCCAAGGTCAGCATCATTAATACGGTTTCTAATAGGAGACTTATTACCTTTCATGACTGAAAATAACTGCTCGCACCGATAAGTGCTACCAAACAAGGAAATAATTTCATATGCGAATTTTCGAGTATTTTCAAACCTGGCTGGTAAATATTTGTAAAATTCAGGCACGCCCACTTCAATGAATGTTGCTTTCAAATCTGAGTTGCATTGAATCTCGATCACCTCCATTTGCGTATGGCTGGGTACTGAGTCAATACTTATTGAGAAAATCGGAGAAAAAAAAAAACATTTGTCTTCCAGGGAACTAAAATCATTAAACATCGTTTCAAATTCAGTTGTTAAATTTGCAATTCTTTCTGCGTATTTTTGATACGAACAAGTATCATCTAAACTTGATTTATTCATGCTGCACGTCGGGAAGTGCGTCAAATCTTCATTTTTAAGTGGTTTTTCCCAAAGAACTAGTTGACATTTGAATGCTTTAATTATGTCAAACATGTTCGTAATGATCTTTTCCTTGTAACGATAAATTTAAATCGTTTAAGTGTTTGGTTATATCAACTAAGAAAGATAAATCTTTTATCCATATTGAATCGTAAAACAAACTTACGTCTTGATCTTTCGTTTTTAAAAACTGACATATTTCTTCTTTCAAATCCCAGAATTGTTTGAGAGTCTTGGAGAAAGATAGCCATGGCCCCTGCGCAGGATGACACGCAAAATCGTGAAGCGTTCCACATTTTTTTTCTCTACTTGATAAATCCTCTCGAAACCTCCGATTGATTTGTATACATTTATGGTTTGTTGACAACAGAAATTCAGTCCGGGGCCCCACAAAGTCTCAAATAATATGAACTCCCATATTTTATTTTTTGGAACGATCTGTCATTAACTTAATTTACGACTTCAAAGTGATGACGCTCACAGTTATCATAAAATCTTAAAAGTAAGCTCAAAATGTTTTTATTGATGGAAAGTAATTTTTAAATCATTGTGCATAACCTGAGGAGCAAAACATCATTAGTGAAAACTCTGAGAGCCATAGTCTGAAGAATTTGCTTTTGATTTGTGTGACATCATTAAATAATGAAGAATCTACGTGTACATGTATGCTTGAATGTTCCTCGCTGAGTTTTATTTATTTTATATTTTGTGCGAATTTAAGGAACTTTTCATTAAAAACTCGTAGATTTAAAAGTTTAATGTTGCCACTCAGCAAAGCATAAAATATTTATGTTTCAGATTTAATCAGAAAACTCAGTGAAATAAAAGAAGTGTGTTGCCAATCAGCAAAACGCAATATTTCCAGTTTAATCGTATTGCAGAACAACTTTTGGAACCAAATTTTAAACACTCTATAGTCCTCTACCCAAAGGTGTGCAATTCGAAACCCGAATTTTAAATTTCGGTTTTGATTTATTTCATATTTGTGGGAATTTAAGGAATTTGTGGTATAAAATTCAGAGATTTAAAAGCCGTTCATAAGCTCTTCATAAGCCGTTCATAAGCATAATCATATTCAGAGATTTAAAAGCCGTTTAAAATCATGAGATATTTATCATTCAAATTTAACCAGAAAACTTGGCGATATAAAAGAAGTGTATTCCCACTCGGCCAAACCAAAAGATAATTTGTCTCTCAAATTAAATTTAAAAAAAACATAGCAATTTAAAGCAAATGGGTTGCCACTGTCCAGCTTAAAATATTTTAATTTTTAAGCGCTGCGTGGCGAAATGTAAGATATTTAATTTTTCTTTCAAATTTATTCTGTTATCAATTAACAATCTAAGAGATTTAAAAGAAAAAAAACGCAGATTCATTTAAAGTATGTTACTCTTTTGTTATCAGGACCGGGTATCCATAAATGTATGTATAGATATATATGTTCATGTGTGCATGTACTTATTTATCTGTGTGTGTACACACATATATGCGCACATACATACACTCGTGCATACATATATACGCTTCTGAATCCGGCCCTGATGATAGAAGAGTACCCAAATTATTATTCATTACTAAATAGACGCGCGAAATTACATTAGTTGAATACATTAAAATTTTTATATCAGGCTTTTAAAGAATGTTTCTCGCCACCGCAAATATCGTCTGCGCATACAGTTCGCGTTGGAGTGTTTAATCATATTTTGTAGAAGGATTTTTGGCATTTGAAAGTAAGATACTAACACGCTACCAGATTAGAACCATCATTTACTTCCAGTTCCATTGCCAAAAGTTAGCCACAGAATGTCACGAAATTATGTGCACAGTTTTAGGTACTAACTAGCATCTACGCGACTAGCCTTCGTCTGGCTTTTAAATGTAACGAAAAAATGCCTAAAGGGAACATCAAACGTTAAATTTAAAAACTGTGCGGAATTTTACCTGCAGAACAACTTCTTTAAACAAACACCCACATTTCTTTTTTAAAAAATGTCTTACATGTAACAAAATTACAATGAAATAAACAATATCCTTTAATACAAATTTAACTATCCTAATAAATAAATTAACCAACTTCCCGTTGTAAAATCTTCAGAATTCAAATGGTATAAATGAAGTCATGAACTTTGTTTCCAAAAGAAATAATGCAAAACGTTTTACATAATTGAAATTATATGTAATTAAAACGTAATATAAAAAAATTGCAATAAAAAAACAATAAATAAAATATGTAAACCTCCTTGCCATTAGCTGATAAAGAGAGGGAGAAAAATGAAAATTCTTTCTGTTGTGCCTAGCGAGACACATGCGCGTCAGAATAAGAAGATTGCGATGTGCATATTGGGTGTCCAAGAAACAAAAGGAAAAACAGCAACATTTTATCTGATATTTTCAACAGTCAGCAGTCTGAAGGAAAAACGATAGCCAAAACCACGTTTCTAAAAGAATTAATCTATTGAAAATGATACGATAAAATCGAAAAGATAAAATAAAAAAAAATATAATTCGAATTTTGAAAAAATCTCTTCGAGGTGCCCTGGCTCTTGTCTAGATGCACCCTATATATCAAATTTCGTAGTTCTGGGTCTATTAGGTTACGCGCAGCACGAACTAAAGACACACAGACTTCTTCTTTTATTATATGTAGGGATGTTGTGTCATGTGATACTGAAGGAAGAATATGAACCATTCATATGCCATTTTTATAAGTTAATATGTGTAAAAATTATACTTCAAAAGGAATATATTACCCATCTATTTCAATGCCAAAACGGCATATATACATTAAAAGTTTTTTTTTTTTTTTAAATATTTTTAATACATTAAGGAAAGTTTGTAACTTTGTAATTGTAAAAGTTATTTTAAAAACACTAAAATGTATTATGAACTTCTTTTTTATGCTTTATTAAGTAATGATAATATTTATCATAATGAAATCATATTTTAGTCCAAGGTGTTTCTGTATATTACCGGCAGCGTATGAAACTCCGGCATTGTATAGAATACCTAGGTATTTTACAAAATACCTGGCGTTTTTAGGCAAACTATGAAACATGATAATTATTGCATACTTTACCTAGGCAATGTATAGAACGACTCGGCATTTTGTAGAATGACAAATGCCTTTTAGTCAAAGGATGGAAAAAGTCTTTCGGTGGTCTCTGTGATATTCTGACTGCAAGTTGGCGCTACGCTTCTGCTACACTTTGCGATGTTTACAATGAGCGTACAAATGTATGAAAAACGAATTATGTCTTGTTATATGCAGAGTTTAAAAATTATTAATCCGTAGTAGTCAGAAACTGTTGATTTCATTTTAATAAAAATATTTTTAATTAGAAGGAAAGCATGAAATTTTAAGCTAAAGAACCTTTTATTTATTTATTTATTTTTTGTCCCCATATATAAATAGAAGCTTTTTTATCTCGATTTTAATTCCTGCTTGCATCCACTGCACTATTCTGAATTGTTTGCATAACAGCTATTTATTCTAATTTAAAGGTAATTTAGAGCACATATCTTATTTTTCAATGATTTATATAGTAAGAAGTCAGTAGATATGCTATTTTAGTTCAGAACATGCACTATTTCAGTGTAAAATTTTCAAAATATTTCTCTCAGTTGTCCTGGGCCGAAAAATAATTCCCTACTTTAATCAATAGGGCTACTAAATTCACCTATATATAATCAGCATATTAATACACCATGATCTAAAATTTGTATATCTGTTTCCACGACATAGAAATAAAAATATTACTTAAAGAGATTAAATTTTACGTACTGAAGAAGTTTTTTTTAAAATTATTATCAAATAATTGTTTTAGAACATCCTACACAATAAAAGTTTAAATAATGCAGATTTAGATCTCTGTGCAGTATTTGCAACATTGCTTATATTCAAAGCAAGAATAAAATTGTCAGGCCAAAGAAATAGCTATCTTACTTTGGCATAGATTTTGAATGAAACTCAAACTTAAAGTTGCTTTTTGACTAATTTTAGTACTACACAAGTGTGTTTCTCTTTCCAGTTTCATTTGCATTTTAGATTTCATTGATGTTAACATTCATAAATTAGACATTGAATTAAGTGCATTGCAGCAATTTACATTTTCAGTCATAGAGAATATTGAATTTTTCCAATGAAAATAATGAAATTTTTGATAAAGCTATTGATCAAATCAATCTCAGTTTGTTATAAAGAAAAGAGACACAGACATTATAAAATATATTTTAACAGCACAACAAAGCAAGATAATAACTCTCATGATCACAATATATACTTAAGAAAACATTTAGTAATGTATATCATAAAAATTTGAAAACTTTGATAATAGAAAGGGCACCCTTGAATCTACTCTAACCGAGAGCTGATATCCGAAAATAATGCAACGAATGTGGGCGTGGTTACAAAAGCTAATTCCATTTGGACGAGGTTAAAGTCGGCAGATAATGCTATCAGTGACGTGCAGTCATTTCTTCTAAACGATATGACACATCAAGCAGAATCAATATTTATTGGGAACATGTTTAGTGCCACTTTACATTATATTGGTGTGGGTGTGGCCATTCTCACCAATAACGCACGCAGTGCGATTTTGATATTTCACATTATTTACTAATCTGTGGATACAATGTCTATTTACAAATGCACATATTTACATATTATCCGCGGCATATTACTTCATCGTGTGTTGACATCTCTTCTCTCTTGCGTATTTCTCTGTCGGACCCCGGTGCTATGTTCTTTGTAAATGTCCCTTGAAAATCTGATGAAAATTAATTTCCACATGAGTGCGGCATATCTCCTTGAGCAAAGGCGGCGGTTGATGCGGTCATTTATGGGATCCCAAGATCAAAAGGCCCCAACGATATGGGCTTCCACTCGTACAACACTGAAACGAGTCTTTAAATTGTGGGGTAGTTCCCGAAGAAAACGCAAAGCTAATATATTTCAGCGTAGTTAATGCCCTATTTCTTTGATAATGCAGTTTTCCAAGCCTTCAGTGGCGTCAGAAATGGAGGCCAATATAGGCATGTAAAAATGATGCACCTCCATTTACTTGGAATTTGGAATTATTTGAAAGTAGTAAAATTTGAAATGGCTAGATTTTTGGTGTGAGTTATCTCTATCTTTTCTAACCTTCTTAATGTTTTCATTAATCTTCGTAACGGTAGGGTAGCCGATACTTCGAATAGTAGGAATATGTGTTCTTGTTAGATTCTGTAAATCTTAAATAATAAAAAAAATTTGAATATTTACAGCTGGTTACAATAATTCTTCCATAAGTAAAACTTCATTTGGTTCGCTTGAATGCAACTATCGACTTAACGGCAGGTTCTTAATGAGAAGGCTTTAGATAGAATCATAAATTCTCCTGAATTATAAAAATCTCCACCGAAATCATATTTCACACTAACATCAATAAATTTTAATCTTTACAATTTTCCGTCTATGTTTAACTTACTCACATAGTGTTGTATAAAAGTCTTTCATATAGTGTCCTTTAATAATATAAATTCCTACACACGGAAATTTGTTAATAATGATATTTAGTCACCACTTTTGTGATGAAATAAATGTAAACACGAATTTTAAGAGGGCCTTATTAGAGCAAGATCATACTTCATAGGATCATTTCTATAGTATGATTAGCGAGTTCACTCACCGAACTTCGCAAAAATCCCAGCCACGATGATGTGTGAAGGTGTTTTTTCCTGAGCGTGAAGCGGACTGGATTTAGGGCTTCGGCTTTTATCGAGTCATTGATGATCGCACCTCTCGCCATTGCGGCGACGGGAAGGAAAGAACTCGTTCTGAGTGGTTTTTTATAACTATAAGGCTAGATTATGGTCCAGTGAGTTTTTAATCTCTCATTGTACGAAGGTCAATTTATAGTCAAAGAATGTCTAGCAGGACAAAGGTGCATTGGCAGTCAAGGAGGTTAGAATACATGGAGATGGTTTCTCTGCTATTACAGTACGAAGAAAGTGAAACACGCCACGTGAGGGCAAGAAAACGATTACCTTACAGAGCGAAGTGAGGTAAAACACCAGCTGGTTTCAAGTTCTCAGTCTGTTTTCTGATTTTGTATGCGTAGATCTGAAAGGCACTGAATTGTTACAGCGAAATAATGTCTACATTTCCATGTAAAGGAATGTTTTAGAACGTGTGTTTAAATGACCTTCAAGAAAGAGTTTGATTATTTTCTTTGTGTACAGTACACGAAGAAAGATATATAGTTCTCAGATTTACCTTTTCATAATAACACTAAGAGTGATATTCGTAATTAACTGATATGTGATGACAAAACGATAAGTAAACAAGGGGAGTGGCAAGCTCTCCATGGAAAAGAAAACAGTTTACTTTAATGTCTGATCATAATTACAATACAGGTGTGTTACCTTTTATATGTTTAACTACATTTTATTTTGTGCTCAAGTAAATATATAATAACTGGATTTGATATTTAGTCACATTTGTTGTGTGAGTTTTAAAATAACAACGTAAAATTTACATATTTCTATCATTGTTTATTCAAATTAAGTGTTTTCGAAACATAAGTAATATTTATAACGTGAAAAATTTGAGAATTATTTATATACTTAGAATAAATAAAGTGTAATTAAATTATAGTTTGAGTACATAGTTACTGTTTCGTGTTCACAATACTTTTAATACAATACATTCATTAATTACAGGATGCAATTATATAATGTAGAAATTTACATAATGTAGAAATGAAATGAAATGGCGAGAAAAGGAAAGGAAAAAGGGCGTGAAGAATCTGCGATCCTTTACGACTACCAGGAACAAAATTGGGTGTGGTTAGAGCACATCAATCTTTCTAAGGCACCACTACTAAGGGCATGCTTTCCCCCTTTTTTGGCTTCCCTTTGACTGCGTGGAGGGCATCTCCATGAGTTCTAACCTCTTTGTCGGCAGTGCTTTTCGTGAATTTCATCACTGGGTGGCAATCGCAAACCGCAATGCTTAGGCTATACATTCAACATTTGTAAAATAGCTCGTTAATAACAAGATGTGTATTTCATTTAAAAATTATCGCTCTTTACTAATAGTAATACCGGATGGTATATTGTAGCATGCCATACTGCAAAGTTTTCTTCCTTTTAACAAATTTTTTATGGTTTCATTTAAATAATTAGTCGCAACATATAACTGATGTTACATGTAATACAGATTTAATATAAATATATAATACAGAATTTCTTTAACAAAACCCATCATCACGCAAGGTTTTAAACCTTTAAAATTGTTTTGAAATGTTCTTTTGTATATAAACAAGCTTCTTAATATGTGTATGTATGTGTTCGACTCAATACTTCTCGTCTTACCGTTATTCGAGTGTGCTGTAAAAAATCTCTTTGTCAACTCCAAATTTGTTTGATAGCCAAGTCATATTTAGAATTATTTTTTAATTTAGTTCATTTCATGCAAGTTACTGCTCCCTACTTCTTGTGTACCCTCACAATCCTCATGGAATAAATGAATCTGTCAGTAACACCTTCTAAATCGCTGTAAACCTAGCTCATGTGAATTAAATCTAATTTTTTTTTTCTCTCAAAGAATAGAAATATTTGTGTAAATTTTTATTCTGATCCGCACTGTAAACTTCTGTGATGTGTATTTAGTTTACATTCAGATACTGCGTGCTAAGTGTACATTCAGTGTGTTGAAATCTCAGAAAATGTGCATGCCTATAGTATATGAGCACTGATTATTGATTATATTGCACTATTTATTATGTTCTTACATTACATATTTCTTCATCTTCATGTCATAAAAATGTTCTATCATACTGGACAAAATATCTGTTTTTTACTAAAATGATATTTTAACCTACTATATATGTATACTGTTTGAGGCATATTTATTTATTTATTTTTTTCCCAATTGCATTGCAATCCACTCTGAGAAGTGAATTCAATGCAATTAAAATTTAAGGATGCATATAATTTATAAGAAATGTTAATTGCATTCATTTTTTATGAAATTTATTACTTTTTAGCTGTACTATCTTTTAACTTTGAGTCAGGTCATTTGAATACTCTCTGTCCTATCTTCAAAATTCTCTAGAGCGTACCTCATTTTAATCAGTGTCATGTATGAGTGTGTTGAACATGAATTTGTGGTTACCTTGTTGAGTGTTTTGCGATTGTACTTGATGTAATGGAAATTCATGAGGTAATATATGTAAATTAATAGAGAGAATACATTTTTATTTTCTCGAATAAGGCTTTATATTTTATTAAATGCTGTCAACGATATTGAAGTACTTAGTATTCAAATTTTATATTTGATTCATTGCGGTTAATGCCATGTATGTCATTATTATATGCTGGTGATATTGAATTCCTTGGTACAAATGTAGCATTTATTTGGAGACAATTTTACTGAGGCAAATTTAGAGGGTTCGCACGGTTTTAAGCCACGCCCCATTTTGCAAGTAAGTACCCTTCCGCCAGTAAATCGGAACGATCACGTTTATGTGATTAAGGCAAACCTACGACGGATGTCTGCCTGAGAAATTCCTTCATGGAGGACTTTATAAGGGAAATTAACTCGTATAGACGGGACACATCAATGAATTCACAATTCCTTAGCTTGAAGATAGTTTTTTGCGAATACTGATGAGGAGTCTTTACAAAATGGGGCGTCGCTTAAAGATGTGGCAACTCTGGATTTTTTAAACCAATTTGGTACTGATATGAGGAGGCAATACTTGGTAAGTAAATGTTGTTGATTGGTAACGTAACACCCTGAAATTTGTGAAAAATGTTGAAACGAAATTATAAAATTTACAGTATCAATAATCAGTACAAATGTATTCAAATATAGCAACTAATTTGGGTCAGACGCACTATATGATTCATTGTGGTTAATGTCATTATTATATGCTGCCGGTGATATTGGAATACTTGATATTCAGGGTTACTTTGTGATATTGGAATACTTGGTATTATTTTGAATATCTGTAATGTTGCATTACTCTTCAGAGCTCTAAATCTGCATTATTTTAACATTTATCATTTAATCCAACCCCCCAAAACATTATTTGATAATAATTAGGAAGGAAAAAAGTCTTCAGCACTTAAAATCAAATCTCTTTTAGTAATATTTTTCTCTTATGTATTAAAAAAAAAGATATACAATTTTAGATCATAATTTATTAATTATATATTTAATATAGGGTAGTAAATTATTTTGTTGCCCAGGACAATTGATAGGAATATGATGAAACTTTCGCGGTGAAATAGTTTATGTTCTGAAGCTTGCTAACTTCGTTCTGTATAAATAACTGAAAAGTAAAACAGATGTTCTAAATTTACCTTTAAATTAGCCCCTTCGAGCCGGGTAGCGAAAACGCGCGCGGAGGCCGGCAGTGTCTTCCGCGAACGTCTTTCCAGGGCCGGGGGCTTTTTTGCTACTAAGCCTAAATCCATGAAATTTCCAAAGTATCAACGCATTGTTTAATGATGCTCTATAGAGTATTTTAACGGCTTATGCTTTGTAAATATTTTTATATATATATATTTTAATTACCTTATTTCTTGTTTAAATGCACATTTTACACATTTTATTTTAATTACTCACCATTTTAGGACTTTTAACATTATACATCTGAAAACTAAATATATTACTTAAAACTCTCTTTTCGTATGAAAAATTTGAAAACAGGGATCTACACACAGTCCTATGTTACATTCCTTGAACTAGTAATAACTCATTTGCCGTTTTGGAGTATTTTTCCGAAAATGTGAACAAACGAAGCATCGTCGTCTCATTTTCTTATCAGTCTCTTCTGAACAAAGTTTTGGAAAATGTCTTTCAGTTAATCTTTCAGAATCAATATAAGAATATCAGAATTTCAGAATCAATATTTGAAATATTTTGCATCATTTCGACGCTTCGACATTGCAACGGTAAAAACAGAAAGAATTCACGTCTAACAAGATATAATTATTTTCTAAACACTGAACTGCAAACCGAAATACTCAACGCTTTAGCGCATATAAAACTTCTGCTTACAATAAACAACTACCACGTGCGAATAAAGTGTGATTTAAAGAGACGTCATAAATCACGCCATTCGGAAACATTTAGTTCGCCGTTTGTTTATATAATCAAAAACACGTGTATGTGAGTCATGCTTCTCTTATTTGGAGTAGAAGGTCTAATGTACATGTATCTGAAACCATATGGACATACAGTGCCATCTTGTGGCAGAAATTATAGTTTGAAAAACGTTCCAGGACAAATACGTGGCACAAATTCGTTCCAGGACAAACACATGACAGTAGGCAGTAGACGGGAAAATGCTCTGTCACGCCTGCGTGTCGGCCGGTAGGTGAGTGTGTTCGTTGCTGGCACGTAGACGTGACAGTCGGCGCGAAGGGGTTAGAATAAGAAGCTCTAATAAGTACAATTCAAAATAGCATATATCTAGATGCAAGCAGGAATTAAAATCGAGTGGGATAACTTGAAATTTCATGCTTTCTTTCTAAATAAAAATATTTTTGTTTAGAAGAAATGTATAATTTCTGACTACTAGAGATTAATTGTTATTAAATTTTCCATATAACAAGAGCATACTTGTTTGTGGTATACTTCTGCTCATTGTAAACGTCGCAAAGTGTAGCAGAAGAGTAGCGCCATCTCGCGGTCAGTAGAAATTTCACGGAGCCTAGCGAAAACACAAAAGAATAGATTTCACACTAGCACAGGCCTTGAGTATAATTTGGCCTTGACAAAAGAAAATGCGCATGAACTTTCTACCGAAAGAAAGGTATGAAAAAAATTTGGG